GTGTGGAAATAGTTCACTTTGACTTTGGATCCTGTCTGTTCCCCACCCTTCTCCTTGTGTGGAGGCTGCTTCTCTAACTCAGGAAATAAATCAGATTAAAAATTAAAAAAAGAAATATTGTATGATCACCAGTTAGCTATTATTTCAAGCTCCCTTTGTATATTTTGAAGGGGAGCAAATCATTATAAAATTAAGCAACTCGTTAATGTTTGTTGTTTTCTAAAGATGAATCAAGACTTATTGAGAAAGTTTGGAATCCTATCTTGGTCAGTTTATGCAAACAGTATTGGTTTCCAAGACTTTGGATTTGTCTGCATGAACCATTTGCCAAGCTTACTTCATAGTTTGATACATCTAATTTCTGAGTTTTTTTTAATATTGTTGGACAGCCTGATTATACTTAGACTCACTTTCTGTAATATGTTAAGTATCTTTTGCATAAAAGTTTTAAACAATCTTAACAGTACTATATTTTTCACTGACAGCTAGTAAAATATAATGGGTGTATTCTGATATATGTCAAAATGTATAAAAGAGGATACATAATGACTTCCTGTGGGATAACAAAACTGATTCCCCCTAGAAAAAGGAAATCCTTACAAAGTCACAAGGGATGAGGCCTTGGGTAGTTTGTTAAAGGCTTCTATTAGCGTATGGTCTCATGGATTAATTACCTTCTTGTCTGATTTTTGTTAGAAAATACTAACTTTCTGTAAAAACTTGGTTAACAAAAACTCCATAATTTCTAACAAAGTCCTATATGATCCATGTTTACTGTAAGTGACAGATTTTATTTTTGTTTCTGTCATGAAAGAAAATGCATAGCTCAATTATGACTTTTCTTATAGAGGAACAGAGTAAGAAAATTGTAACTTCAACTTCTAATATAACTTTCTGGTGAGAGTAGGGGCTGGTCTATACACAACGTTGTACTAGTTTAACTAAAGGTGTGATGTTAAACCAATGCAATTTTATGTGTGCACACTCTTATGGTGGTTTAAACTTGGTTTATATCAGTTTAGCTTGCACCTGCAAATAACACCGGTCAGTCAACATATATATTGCTGTGTGTCTGGTGTATCCCAGGATACTGGGAGCTCTTTAAATGGAAGAACAGATGTGATAGTCACCTATAAAATATTCACTAATTTCTGCATTGCATGGTTCTATAGAAAACAGTGATTTTAATCCTCAAAGTCCAATCCTAGCACGCACTGGGATCAGCTAAAACCAGAAAGGCTCACTGATTCAGGCTCTGCTCTGTTCCAATGTGCTGGTCAGCAATCTAGAGGGTATATTGCCAGGACACTGAAGAATTCTGTGGGGTTTTGTTGTTTTGTTTTCTATATCACCAATGGGTATTATTGGTAACAATGTTAGTATTTTGGGGTTAGCCCCCCTGTTATGGGTATATAGTATAATGTTCACTATTGAAAACAGTTTTATATTCTTTCTTTTGGGTTTAGCAATATAATACAACTAAGTTGATGTGTTAACAATTGGAAGCAAGTTAAAGCAATTTGCCTGCTTTATATTGCTTTAATAAAGAAATATGCATGTAACAAATTAATTTTCTAGTTTCTCACAAATGTTTACATGGCAGTCCGGGTACATCAGAAATGACTGATTAAGAAAAGTACTGTATTATGGTACATGCAATTGAGAGTAATTAATTTAGGCGTAGAAACATTTGTTTACAAAAAAACTGAAAAAAATTTAAAAGGCAGAGTATTTCTTTGAAGCAAGAGAGAGAAAGAGGGAGAAATGTAATCAGCTGAGCAGGGAGCTAAGTTTTAAGTTGAACTGTTTGTAAGCAACCTTTTGTCTTAATACCAGCCCCATTCACTTTCTTAAATACTGTTTGCTGGGTGGGGACAACACACAAATGAAGGTGAAACAAAACTACCAAAATACATATTTTTGGTTGATCTCCTATATGTGTGCATGTCTAATATGACTCTTTTATTGGTGTGTTGTAGAATAAAAAAACCACAGTCTATCCTATTGTACAAAATGTATCCCATCTATAGCCTGAGCAAGACATAAGTGATTTCCATTGTTGAGATGGTGGGGGAATCACTCTTTGACTTGTATTGCTCTGTCTATCTAAATCTCTCCTTTGATGTGTTGATTCTGGAAGCACGGGGGGGGGGGGGGGGAAGCGGGGGGGAAAGAGAGAATGGAAGATCCTGGCCTGGCCACAGGTTGGCGGTTTCTGACCCATATAGTGCCCAGACAGGAAATGAGATGCTGGGATCATGTCGTCCTCCTCACAAATGTTGGGGGTGCAGTGTTTGGAAAGTACCAGTGGGAGAGGAGGTAGACGAGGGTGGAGGGGAGCTCTCTGAAGATGAGGGTAGGAAATAAGAGTAGAATAACTCCTCCCCATACAGTACGGAGGAGATTAGAGAGAGAAGGAATTCCTAGCAGGCTCCATAGGTCTATTCTGGTAGAAGATGGGGCAACTGGGCTTCCACTGATCTGCGGGTCACTGCTCTGTGGGGAGGGCATGGAAGGGCCTCCCTAACTAGTAAGCTTAGTGCTCTAGCTAGATTTGTGTGTGTCTGGTAAATCTTCACACTCCACGTTACTGTAATCTCATATTTTAGGAAACAATGAAAGTGCCCTTGTCATATATTTATTTGTCTTGAATTTCAAGCAAAACATTTGATATTCTCTTATTTAATCATTTTGTCTGCTATCCATTAGACAGCCAACGCGACTGTGATAGCACAAGTAAAACAGAAGGGTTCCTAAAGTGAGATTTATTTGTTTTTCATCCCCCATGAAATATAACCCACCACATCCAAAAATGAAAAACAGTAAGGGATCTGTTCTGCCCTCGCTGCACACATGTAACTCCATTTAACAGCAATGGGAGTAACACACACCCATTAACCCTTAGAATGCTGGCATTTTTCAGACTATCAACCAAACAAATGCCTAAGAGGACATGTATAAATGTCCTTTGGAGATTGTATAGCCTGATGCTATACACTCAGGTCTCCTGGATTCTCTTCTTGATTATGCTACAAACTCCCTGTGTGACCACGGGAAAACTGCATAACCTTTTTGGACCTTCAGTTTACCCACCTGCATTGATGAAAATAAAACAGATGTTGTAGCACTAATTTTTTTTTCTAAAATACATTGGAATGCTCACATGAAAAGTGTTTCACAAGAAGGAAAAGAGACTCTCAAAGCAGAATCATCCTCTTACTACCAAATTTTGCCTGTGAAAATAGTTTTGGGGCTGTGCATTTTTTAGGGGAGGAGAGGGACTTGCCTGGCTGTATGTTCTTTCCATCTTCCTCCGCCTCCCACACGCTATTGACTTGTGCCAGAATTCTGTTACCCTATGACTATATTTTCCTTTTAAGTACAAACTTCCACAAAGTTGGAAAACATGAAATGAAGCTTGCCATCCTAAAAAAAAAGTTGAAGATCTCAGGGTGTGCACAAGTCCATTCTAAAAGTCACTTTGTCAGGGCATAATTTACAGAGACTCATCTGCACAGTCATAATTCTGCATTTCTTTCAAACAGCCTACTTTTATACCTTCAGGCATGTGATTTGTCAGGACAGCCTTGTGGGCAATCGGAGCTTGCTGTAGTGGACTGAAATGACCCAGAACAAACTCGGTAGTTAATCTTCTTTATTGGTGAAATCAATAAGCAGATTCGTGCTAAGTGCTGACAGTTCTTATGTAGGGAGTGAAAAGTAGAAGTGTTTGCTCCTTGAACCTGCAATGTTTTACTGCCCAGTCGTTTTGTTTCATTATTTGATAAAGAACTCGTTGCTCCGTCTTGTATTATATGCATAATTTAAATAGCTGTAACATATTTCCTTTGCCCAATGGTTCATATGTTTAAATGTCAAAGCGAATAATGAATGTACATATGTTGCCATCTAAAATATCAGATACAAGGACCAATTGGGGAACCCTTACTTGCACTCGTGAGAGTAACCTTACTGATCTCAGTGGGGACACTTAACTGAGTAAGTACACACCAACATGGGTAAGGGACACAATCCAAATAATAGAGCTTTAGGGGACTTGTAAAAGATGTCTTAGTTAAAATTTAAGCAAATGCTCATTAAAATAGCAGAGCGCTTTAATGACTAAGGCCCTGATCTTTCAGTATGATGCACACAGGTGATCTCTCTCCCTGCACAGAGCCCAGTTGAAGTGTGGGACTTAAGGGTTCATTCATGTGAATGACAATGACAGATTATGGCTTGATCTGGTATATGGCCACTCATAAACCACATTTTCCTTCAAATTCTAGAGCTACTTGAAGTGAGAAATATGCCAGAAAGTTAAATAAGTTTTCCCTGATTATTGAAGTTTTTGCCCCTTTAAGGGCCCAATCCTGAAAACTCTTCTGGATGTAATACTTACTACTGTAACTAGTCTCATTGGAACCAATTAAACTACTCATATTAATAAGAATGACAACGAGTAAATGGCTGCAGGATTGGGCTGAAATTTAGCAGCACAATAAAGAGAGGTTTATAACATTTGTGAAATTCTGAATAATCATCAACTTCAGATCCAAGTCTTCAGACAGTAACTGGAGGTCTGCACTAAATGGGTTTCTTTTCATGAAGAAGAAATGCAAACTTACTTTGTGTTCTAGGAGTCACAAGATTTAATACATTTTGTAACCATGGAAATGGATATCTTATGACGGAAATAGTGAAGAGAGACTCATTGTCAAAATCTGGCCCATGAAGCCAGTTGCCTATCCATTAGCTTGTTTATACCATTTCTGTTTGCTTGATATTGGAGAGTAATCAGAAAGTAAGCCATGCTAAATCATAGCTGCCATCAAGTTTGTATGATAACTATTAAAGCTATTTCACAAAACATCCTTTTAAATTCCTCCCTTCCAACCCCATGCTCTTATCTTTGCTTTTACATTTTTGTTTCAACTGTTCCTACTCTTGGGTCTTTCTTAGAGTTGAATCAATAACCCAATCTCTCTCATTTCTTACAGATGTTAAAATGATGAAACTCTCTCTCCTTCTGGAATTCATTGCAGTCATGACATCTCCTCTGGTCCTGTATAGAATGTACCGTGCAGCCTGTTGCTGAACTGTTATGACATGTCTCTAGCAATCAGAAAGAGAAGCTGGGAAGAACATGTGACCCAGTGGATGGGCTTGCCTTTTAATTCTGTTGAGTATAATACAGCATGTCATCATGGACTTGTAGCTGATAACTTTCAAGAAAGTATGGAAAAAGATGAAGTTTTGAATGTGGACCGGAAAGAAAAATGTGTTTCTTTACCAGACTGCTGTCATGGTGGAGAACTGATTGGCTTCCCTGCAAAGCTGCTTAGCAACATTTCAAAAGAGGTGGATGAAAATGATAACCATGAGGATGAGGAGCATTTTCTTTCTTTGGAGGCCAGCACAGAAACTTTGGTCCATATTTCTGATGGTGATGACGACGATGTTTCAAATCTCTGTTTGGATAAAGTTAACCACCAGTTCACTATTGGAAGGAAACTAACAGATGAAGAGCAGAGTTTAGGAGGAGCAGGCTCCTTAACAAATATGGTAGCAATGATTAAAACAAACAGGGAATCTAACATTTCTGAAACAATAGGAGATATTGATGAACCTGACTATGACACAGTCCCCAACGAAGAGAAGGAAGAAGAGGACATTTGTGGCAGTATTGGGAAAACCCTGGAGCTTTGTAATTATAAAGGCTTAAATGAAGTAATAGATGCCCCAAGAGAAAATCTCTCCAGTTCTCTGAATGTGAAGGAAATTATGCCTGAGAAACAGCTGCTTCATACTGCTGTAATTGCACAACAGCGTAGGAAATGTGATGCTCCTAAAGATGGGCATGAAAAGGCTGACTATAATGTGGTCCAGGGTGAGTTTTCTCCTGGTCTGTATACTGGCAGTGGTAGACAACCATTCTCAAAAGCAGACTCCAGCAACTACCTTATGCAATCTCCTCTCAGTTCCCATATAATGTCAATGGAAAATGGACTGGATGAAAGTGGTTACACAGAACCTCAAGTGGTTCCTGAAAAAAAATGCCTTACAAATATCAGTCCAGTGGAAGGCACGCAATGTTTACATTTGAAGGATAATCTGTCCACCCATGAATCTACAGACAATCAAGTGAAACTGCGCAAAAGAAAGGTAGGATGTACACAAATTACGGGGTTTGGTTTCAGTTTTTGTCAACTTTTTCTCATGTAATCTCATGGCTGATTTATTGAAGCAGTAAGGTAAATATCACTCAGAATGTTGTGTAGATGCCAGGTGTTGCAAATGCTTCTGCGAAACAATTTGGAAACATGCCACATGGATGTAAACTCATTTTTAGATCTGAAAATTACTGTCTTGTGAATTTGGTATGTTCCTTATATATATATATAAAATCAAAGGCATTAGTGTGTATGTATGTGTGTGTGTGTGTGTATATATATATATGTATATATATATATATATATATATATATATACACGCTAATGCCTTTGATCACAACTTTTCATTCTATTGTTTTATTTTTATCATGGCCAAATCAATAAGCTCCCTCCTGGGGTTTCCTTTTTTGTTGTGGTGTTTGTTTGTTGTTTGGGGTTTTTTTCTTTGCTAGTACCAAATATCAGAGGTGGTGTTTAGATATAAGTGATGTCTGCAGCTGTATAGGACCTTTGTTTTAAAGGGATGGGGAGGAAAATGTTACAAACTTGTAAAAGAAATTCTAAAATGTCTATATGACTGGTGCTGTGAAGTACAGGAAGCAGCTATTTGAGTTCCAGCAAAGCCCCATGAGCGAGTTCTCACAAAAAATGTTGCTGGTATGAAGATAGAGGAAGCTCTTGACGTTTTCAGACTGAGAGCAACAAGAAAACTTCACTGGCTCTTCAGACAGGGGAAAAGAGAATAATTCCAAAACTC